TCCACTCGCTGTGTGGGTCGGCGATAGTGCTTGAGTGGGCGTGGCGATGTAAAGTAGGCTGGGCTCACAAGGTATTGCTGCCAGGTCACCAAGTGTCTCGGTAGACCCTTCTTGAAATCATGTCATGCTATGATGCACTCACAAAAGTGGGCAGGTGGGGTTTGAATCTGTCCTGGGCCTCTCCTCTGTTGACTCATTAAAATGAATATCCGATGCAGTGTGTAAACATCAGCACTGGGGAGACAAACGCGGCCAGGCGTGGTGCTGGCCACGCCATCCCGTCGTGTCCTATACCACAGCGGTCCCCAACCTTTTTGGCACCAGGGACCGGTTTTGTGGAAGACTATTTTTTTCACGGACCGGGGGGGGGGGGTTTCATCATTGGGTCTTTCCCCCTTTTCAAAGAAGCTCTCCAACGACGTTTGTTTTTTTACTCAATTTGGCTCCGGTTGGCTTGTGGGCTTACCAAAACGGTGACTGAGACAAGTGCGCAGTGCGGAAAGTAGCGCGGACAGAAGTGGTAAATATAATAATGGGAGGGCCAAGCACGGACTCACCGCTCACCTCCTGCTGTGCGGCCCGGTTCCTAACAGGCCACGGACCAGTACCGGTCTGCGGCCCGCGGGTTGGGGACCCCTGCTATACCAGAATTAATAGGTGCTCGCTAACAGCACTTAGGAAAAGCAGTCTTAATGCGTATATTTGTGTTTTGATTTCATTTTCTTGCACTGGTGTACCCATTCGTGCTTTGAGTGACAGACTTTTGGCAAACACTCATACCTGATGATGATTATACCATGTGTGCATGTGTCCTTCAAAAGGACGGAGAGATTGGCCAACCGTTTTGTCTGTACAACAACGTGCGGTGACTCTGCCAAAAAATCCCGATGAGCACAACGTCCTGAACTGCATCAGTGAGCCCAGCAAAAAGTACATTTTCTGCATTTATGAACATTGCTTGTCTGACTGATTCAGCAAAGATCTAATTATGAAAAAGGGATGGAAGCCAGTAGCCTCCTCCTTAATATGCGTGTGCGCGCGTAGATGTGTGTGCGTACAAGCGTGTGGCTCGGGAGCGGTGATAGTGGTTGGTGTACCGCACTGTGAACCTGGCAATTATAAGTTTGATGTAAGGATCAGTCTTTGGGCTCTCTTGGATCGACTCAGTCTTAAATGAATACCTGATGCAATGTGTAAACATCAGCAATGGGGAGATTAATGTGGTTAGGCTTTGGCCACACCATCCCCACATGTGCCATGCCAGTCTTACGAGAAACTCACAAACAGCACTTGCCTCAACAATCTGTAAAGCTATTTCAATGATATTTATCTTTTCTGTGAGTGAATCTAAAGAACAATGTAATATCCACTACAAAACAGTTTTATGAACCTGATGTTCAATACCTGTTCATCAACAACAACCAGATAAAATAGTTTTTGGGGCCTGTCCCAAGCCTCTGTCAGAAAGTAATTCAACCGGAGTGGTAATCACTAGCGCTGGGGAGGCAAAGGGCAGGGTGGGAGTGGTTCTGGCCACACCAGCTACTCCTAATCCGTGTAGGCCTTGGTAGGCGCCCACTCACAGCCCTTACCCCAAAAGTATGTTAGAGGCAACGCGTGAGTATATGAATATACAAGTTGAAACAAAGTAAGTTTTATTTCTACCGATTTAAAAATAAACCCAAAACACTCGTCTTGAGAAATGGCCTTAATCCAGGAGTGCATTGGGAAACAACGGCATGTGGGATGTCTGGACATTCCCTATTCTAATAGGGTTTTTCCCCTTTTTTCTGACAATAAAACTGAAACCTTTTTACAAGGAATCATGTCTGCATTAACCACAATACTTGCAGTCAAAATGCAAAAAACACACTTCTGATAATATATGCATTGCCCTTGAAACTGATTGGTCCACACCAGACAACTTTTGGTACTGGCAAAGGAGGTCTAATGATGTAGATGCTTACCCCGAGCCCTCGTTACTTTGATAGTGCATTGTCTTTGAGCTGTACGCCTTTTGGCGTCATCTGGTCGAGCACCAATTGAGACGAGGCTCAAAAGAAAGCTGTCTCTGGTGTGGACCAATCAGTTTCAAGGACAATGCATATTTTATCAGAGTACGTTTATGTTTGCATTCTGACCACAAGTATTGTGGTTATGCACACATGAATCCTTGTAAAAAGGTTTCAGTTTTGTTGCCAGAAAAAAGGGGAAAACCCCTATTATTATATTTTGGTACTGGAAAAGGAGGTCTAATGATGTATTCCCTATTCTATTAAATGGCATATTTAAAAATACTGCCGAGTTGCCATCATGTAGAGAAGTATTCACAGAATAAGTAATTTGCTGCTGTGTTGTGTGAACTAATTCATTTGGTTTCAATTTAAGCGAAAGATTCTTCCTCGATGTAAATGGTTATAACAATCACTTGCAAACCAGAGGTTTCACCAGCACGACCGTTGAAACAATGGGGCAAGTTTCTTAACCCCTCCGCCCCCCTGCTCCCCACCTCTCCACTCAGCAGTGTATACGGTACACTAATTAGGTGATCAGCAGGTCACATGCGGTGGAGTAAAGTGTGGGTACTGCCACCTCTTCTAAGACGTTTGGCCAGCATTGAATAGTAGCCTAAAAGACCCGGTGGAGAGAGGGGGTCTCACTTCTGGTCTAACCATAATCCTGACTTCAATTGGCTGGTGCCTGGAATGATTTGGGCTGTGAGGCAGCACGGCTCCAGGGAAAGTCCAATGGGAATATGCAGAGTCACCCCCGAAAGCCTGCTTCAAGGTGCTTCACGTCTCACCTGCTGCACCCATAAAGGAGACCGCCCCGCCCCCAACCCCCCGATACTCAAATCTCTGCACTCGCTCCCGATTCAGCTCCACGTCAACAAGGCTGCCCTCACCGTCTCCAAGACCCTCCATGGACTCGCCCCTGCCGAGCTCTCCGCTCTCATCTCAATCTACCCCCTTTCATGCGCTCGCCACTCGAGCAACCAAGGCCTTCTGTCAAAGCCTCCAATCAACCTTTCATCTGTGGGAGATTGCTCTTTCTCCCCTAGCCATCTGTGTTGTCAATTCCCTGCCCCTGTTAAAGTCCACGCTTAAAACCTTCTCATCTCAGCTGCATTTGAGTGACCGTCTCTTCTAAAAAGAAACCACGGTAGTGTAATATATCCCTCTATTCTCATGATGCATATGTCCCATTATTTTGTACAGTACATTCAAATGTGGTTGCATTTATCATCTCTATAATCCACATTGTATTCTATCAGTGTTTTCTCCAAAACCTATAATTATAATCAGCTTTCAAGCGCCCATGTGCCAACACGAGGTATATTCCCGAGATGTGACACACTGCCGTTGCTTTAGCACTGGGAGGGCGGCAGGGTGGAGCAGTAGTGATACTCGTGCCTCACAACAAGAAAGACCTGGGTTCGATTCCTGACTTGGACGTTTTTATGTTCTCAACTTCCTCTGAATGGATTTCTCCAATATCCTCCCATAACTAAACAAACGATGTCACTGGTATTGGCCAAACATGCTAAAAAATACTTGCAATTACTCAGTCGGGATTACACAAGATTGCCCGCCTACTATGAAAACATGGCAGGATTCTCCTGGAATGAGTCTTGATTGAGTATTGATGTTCAAAGAGCCTTCCATAGGAAAACAAGCAAAATCATAACAAAAATAAACCTATTCCAAAATAAACTGAAGTTAAACAACAAATATCAGGATGTGCTGACCTTGCCGAAAGGAACGAGAAACAGCATTTATAGCGATCGACTTTGGAAGCATAACTCGGTTGGCATCGTTGATATTGAAGAATCGGGATGAGTTGTTTTCCTTCATGCTTATGACATCCTTAATTTAGTTTTCATAATATTAAGTACTGCATATGTAATGTTTCTGTGTGTTGTGCCTGCCTTTGATGGTTTTACTTGTGAAATATTGTCTGTGCTTTGAGAACTGTAATTAATTATAGAGACATTGAAAACATAAAGATGCTGAGGCTGATGAAAGGTAGAAATATGTAAAGTATGCATTTTAAAACAACTTACAAGTACTAAGTTACATTGGTACTTTAGTCCATCCTAAAAGCATGTAATGGTTACAACAGTATTCATGGAAAATGTTGAATACCTGGCACACACACAGAGCTTATATAATAATTGTAAAATAATAAACAAAAAGGTGAGTTGTCAGAATCATCACAAAAATAAAAAATAAAACTATTATTCCTTTCACTAATAGGCATTGCAAAACAATGTTAGCAAATAGCAATTGGTTTTGATCTATCCCAGGCTCATCAGCAGGTTATCAAAGAGATTCTACCGGACAGCCTCGCCTGATACTATCACAAACAAGCATCTACAAGCACAGGTGTGGATTGCATTGACCCATGAGTCGTCCAGGCTGGAATTAAAACGTATGTTCCTATTGATGGAAACTGGTCTACTGCACCAACGGAGCTGTGTGTGTCATTTCTACAATGTCTAAATATTTTGATATCTATCCTAGCTGCGTAAAAAATGATTGCTTAATGATCACAGTTGGTCTCCATGTGCTATGGGTGGTGAAATGTGATACAGTAAAATGGGCTTCCATGCTGATTCTAGTCATGTGACTTACACATCTACTGACCATAGCCACCTCCTGTTAAAAGCAGGCTTGCTGCAACAGAGATTCCCTGAACATTGATGAGAGCTGCAAAGTTGCTACAGAACAGTGCTGAAACACATTGTGCTGACACAGTAAAGCTACCAGGCTGTTAGGCCTAATTGCTGTTGAGACCCAGACGTTTGAAACCGATCAAGAGCTTGACTAGAAGTCCAGTCGACCAAAGACAGAACATATTTTATTTTTATAAGAAGCTCCAGAATATAACTTGATTTATGCGTGTTTTCACCTTGAATAATCCACTACAGTGCATAGCAGATTAAATCATCTGAGGATAACAAATATGATTATATTCCATCCATACATTCTTTCCCCATGTGTGTGAGGTCACACAAGAAACATTATTTTCATTGACGGGAATATTTCAAGCTCACGCTCTACATTTGACAGCGTTAACCCTATGCCACGTTTTCCATGTGCTTTAAACACACACACACACCTAACTGGCACTTTTTTGTGGAGCACACGTACAATCTTTGCTCACTTGATCAATTCACATGCACCACATGTGCCAATGCATTCTATGTGCGCATGCCCAAGCAGCTTCTCTTTGGCCAGACAGAGGGAGCGATATGGACATGGCACTGACTCGAGACAAAACGGGCCGATTTGTTTATGGGAGGCTTTGTAAATGAATTAAATTGCAGATGACTGATTAGTAGCATCAGGGTTGGCCTCTGTAGAGGAGGCTCGTGGAGGATGCTACTGGGCAGTTTGGAGGCAATTAACCCCAAGCAATAATGGAGGACAGAGTGGTGGGGCTCACAACAACGAGCGGAGTTCCAGGCAGCTAAAACTAAACATAGTAAGCTCGCACAATGGGAAGTGCAGGTGGTGGTTCTACCAGTCATCTTGAGTCAAACCATAGCACCTGGGTCTGTCCCCATGACCTCCTGCGGGAGAGCCTTAAACACTTCACATTGCCTCAAAGTGCAGAGTCCGGCTCAAATTCTGTGCTGACGTCACCACTTCGTGCCGAATGGCAGCAGCAGCGGCAGCTGCTGACGTTGTAGTGCACGCCGTGCGCGTGCCGTGCATGGCTGTGTGTGTGAGGCCGCGCTGCTGCCCCGTGACGGCACCTGTAGGAGGCGGGCGGGTTGGCTCGAGCGCAGCAGTGCAGCGTGACGGTCCTGTCGGGCTGCTCCTCGAAAAACTCCGTGTCCACCGGCTGCTCTTGGAACACAGGACCCAGGGGGTGGCCCTTGTCTGCCATGGCAGGATGGAGCAAGGGACAGAGACAGACAGAACAAGCGTCAAAGTGTGACTGTCAGTGGATAGGTCATTTAGATGAGGGCAGGCAGTGTTAATTTTGTCCAAATGTTTAGTTGAATCATAGTCTTAGTCTAGAACTCAGATCACCGGGCTCAAAACACTGCGACCAACCACTGCACCACCGTAGTTATATCATGTAAAACAAAAACATTGTCGTAGTATAATCATGGCCTTTATATTGCCAGTTGAGGTTCAATGGATTTCAAGAATCTTTTTCAGAATGCTCCAGAAGGCAACTAGCGAGGAAGCCGACATAGGAGGCCACCTCACAGACCTGCATGTTGTGAGTCACACACACACACAATGGCATCTGCACATCTACAAACCCTGGCTCCAAAGCACAGGATTACAACAAACCTACCCGACCACCAAACTTCATTTTTTATCAAACCATTGCAAGAGTTAATTTATAATATTGTAATGCGGATGTTAATGTTAGCCTTTTGTGATTTATATGCAGCAGGCAATGGAATGACTATTTTTCAGTTTATCATTACATTCAGTGAGGAATTGGACGAGTGCACATAGCCTTGTGAGGAGTGAAAAGGAATAAATATATGCTCCCATAAATGTTTCTAATGGTAATTGCAATGTGTTTGTTCTTATTTTAAACTACAAATGCATTCTTTGAATCGACAATCTGCAGAATAACACCATATCATTTAATTAAAAGCAGTGTTACACACCTTGGATGTTACTTTTTCTCACAAAAATATTTTTGTGGAAATGTAATAAAGGCAGGCTGACGTTAATGCAATTTTCCTATGAATGATGAAGAGGCATGCGACTTAAAACCCCCATTCTGAATATTTTATTCAATCTCCATAGCAGAATTCTGAACTCTTCCTCAGAGCAGCACTAAGCCATTTAAAATCGGGTGGTATTAAGAATGAGATTTTTACCTAATAATGACTTATATCCCTCTGTCAATCCATTGCTGGACGACGGCCTCCTCTCATGCAGGCAGTCTTGGTGCTTGCTTCACTTCATGTTGGGCAGTGCAGGATGGTGAAGGGCAGCCCTTGGACAGGTTCAAATGTGATCTGCCGCTGGTGTCAGCCATGTCCAGGTGTTAAACTTAGTCTTTTTACTGAGGTGTATCTTTCTTGAATAAATTAGCAACTAATTACAATCATTGTCCTTGGTGCCGATCACTCTCGGTTAGATTCCTTCACCTCCCTTCACCATCGCCAGCAGGGTCAGCTACAAGGTCCCCCCTTCTCCTGCCTGCACCACCACCGGGCCTCTACTCTCAGCTGTCCCCCGTATCTCTCCTCGCCGCTGTCGCACAGCGCTACAGCTCACAATGGAACTCTCATCCTCCTCCACAACGGCAGCGCAACTCCCGAGTTCCTGCTCTCTACACATGGAGACCGCTTAGGCGTTAATTCTAGATTTGAAGCTTTCGTGACTGCAAGGATTCATATTCTTAGGTTTTTTCGGTAAAGTCACGTAGGTACAAAATTAAAATTACTTTCATTAATTTTAATTTTAATAGATTTTTTATTTTTATTTTTATTTTACTTTTATTAATTTTTATTTTTTACCTACGTGACTTTACCGAAAAACCTAAGAATACGCTTAGGCGTTATTTATCCACGCTAGTCCCCTCATTCTGGAACGTGGCCATCATCCCTATCCACTCAATCCACACCGACTTTCAAGAGACATGCCTGGCTTTCGAGTGGCTCCACACCTCTGAGTCGTGGTCATTTATTTCCGTGAAATATTGTGTGCTTTGTAAATCGCATTATTTATTATTATTGGGGTGTGAGGCAGTGATGGGTATTATTACAAGACCAGACAATGTTTTTGGTGAGTTGTAACATGTTTGTATTTTCAAAGGTAAAGATCATGTTTTTTCTTAAATCAAATGTTTATCCTGGGTTTGACCCTATCCATCAACAACAAAACACACGATGATCCATTATTGAACCCTATCATCCATTGGCATTTCATGCTTGTGGGCATTCTACTGGCGTTTTGCACTGAAACAGAAGTGCCAACCAGTAATGTCTGGGAAGAAAGCTACATTCAGATTTATGTCTGGATCACTTGGATAATTCTCACAGCTCAAGCATTGGAGTCTTGCTCCTCCAGTTTGGTGGTGGCCCTGAGCCAATGGGGAACATTCCATGTTTTTTTGGTGATGGCCGGGCTCAGCTGGGGGACGTTAATTCAATTAATATCGATGTAAAGATGGGAAGTGTGCAAAAACAAAATGTGTTAATCAATGTGTTATAGCTGCTTTGACATCTCGATCAGAAACATGAACATTGACAAAGAATACGGAATAAAACGCTTAAAAGTGAGGAAATAAGAATGGAGAGATGTGTGCATGGGTTTACACCGAGCGATAGAAAACACACTCAGCTTAAATGACCCAAGTGACTGCCAAAAACATTAAACGCCATCCCTAGACCCATTCCCAGAAGGCACGATCGCCAGTGGGAGAGAAGAGTGGCTGAGCAGGGAATGTTCCTGAGAGGACGTCCACCGTGGAGATGGAGCCATGAGCTTGACTTGTGTGCAGGTGCTGGGTGGAGCGCTGCAATATGGGACTGTGAGGGGTGGTGATGGCTTCGGGAGGTCTTCTTCTAGCATCGGATTGATCATGGTTGCTGCTGATGATAATGATGAAGATGACATTCAAACTTTCAACCGCTGCTGGTATTTTTTGGAATAATCAAAGACAAAAGAATGAATGGGTATCATGTCCATTCCAGGATTCACGTTGATCCTCCCTCATCTATAATCGCTACCAAAGCCAATTGCTGCACTGGCTGTGTTTACATCGTTGGGGCTTGGACAGCATTAGCAGTGGGTGAACAAAGGAGGTTGGTTTCACCAGCCATGTTATCTTGTGTGCGTTTATAAGCCATGCACTATGCAATCGTTATTTTGCACTTTAGGTTGTCAAAAGCAGTTGTAGATTATTGCCGAATGCTAAAACTGTTGTTTTCTGAAATCTGCAAGTTTTTTCCATTAGAATTAAATTGAATGCATTTTGTTTAACTAGGTGACAGACCATTACATTTTATTAGCTCTGCTCTGCGGAAGACATCGACTATTATAGATAAAAAAAAACATGTTTTCCATTTTTACAACCTGCAGGTAATATGCAGCGTTTAAATATGAATTTCAGACTAAAGCACAAACACACAATGGCTCACTCCCATGAATATAGTTCCACAATGGTATTTGGAAACTGTTGACAGAAATTAATGGGCTTCTGTGAAACTTAATCCTTTCACTATTTAAAGTACCTCAGTGCCATGTGAGATAACTACATTGGTCTTCAGCGACTGTTAATTTAGTCGGGTGCCACGGTAGACTGACGTGGGAATTGCTCCCCTCTCCTCACCCTATCAAAAGTGGAGTTACTCACCACACCGATATGACCCTGGGAGTCAGTGCCCATACCACAAAGGGCTTCATTAAAAGATCCTATTTACTGCATCAGACCAACACTAATGATCTGTACATTGCAACTTCAGAAGTAAACGGAATGTATGGTATAAGAGGGCACAAACCACTCTCATCGGTCGACTTAGCCCACCATTTCTCCAAAGACAATAAAATTCGCACCACTTTTCTGAAAATCAAGTCACAACAGTTATTGTTTTATGGAGAGACTGGTCTTGTCATTTTAATGAAGAATCTCCACTACTTCTGCCACAGGGCCACCAACAAAGATAGGTACCACCCCTTGATCGTTTCAGTGGACACACTTTTTTTAATCAATTACTGTCCATCCGCTGCAGGATGACAACCTCCCCAAACTTTGTTTTAGTCTTCACCAGAAATTGAACTCGCAGGGTTCATAGGTCACAGGGTTCATAGCACGGTTCACACTCACCTTTATGTATATATGTGTGTATATGTGTCTAATAAGAATACATATATTTGCACAAATAATGTCCACCAATATTTCTTCATAAAATGTGTTTCATATCCATTCTGGATTGCCAGAATGCCTGTGCCTGTCCAGGATCCCAACACAATCATACACCATGGAGTGTGTGCGCAAACCCTGTTCAAAGCATGACTGCATGCCCTCTATTTTAGGTGCTGGATTTGGAATTGTGGCACCAATTCAAATCACATTTGGAACTAAAATACCAAGCGTGAATATGAGTGGGTTTTCACACTTGCTGATAACTCCAGCCACATTAAAGTGGGTCCCACTCTCTGTATATTACCTGTCTTGCTCTCTGCTTTTTACATTTCCTATCTTGACTTAAAGGTTTCGTGACTGCAGGAATTAATATTCTTTGGGTCTAATGATATATATATTTTTTCACCTGATGACGATTGCTTGTGTTGCGATCGAAACGTCGTGATATTTTTATTATTTTTCTATCTACATGGCTTTACCGAAAGACCCAAAGAATATACATTTCCTTTGTTTTAACATTTCGTACGGTTATGTGGAATAAATGTTTTTGTTTTATTACTTTTTTACAGATTTCTCCATAAATACTGGCATGACCCTAAGTTGGCAGCTGACAATGGGAGCCACTGCACTTTTCTGAGTACAGAGCCATAACCTCTGACCTCCTGAGTTTTAAACCGTACAGCCTCAGTGAATTAACCACTTTCTCAAGTGTAGTGAGTGAGCTGATGGTCTCAGCTTGGGCATCAATTAACTGCTTTTTGTGTTTAGTTTGTTATCCTTCCCCCGCACCTCCGATTATCATGGTTGGCTACGTACGATGCAAAAGAAGTTCAACATACGAACATACACATACATACATATCAATAGCAATACTAACCATTTGCCACAAAGTGACGGTGATGTCACCACGGCACCTGTGCCAGGCCAGATGCATTTTTACACATACATACATACAGACATACAGACAACAACAACCGCCATTCGCCACTAAGTGGCGGTGACGTCACCATGACGCTTGTGCCAGGCTATGTGCACCTTGAGGCCACGTGAAGTGTCGAACGCCCACTGGCAGGAGGTCACGGGGCAGACCCAGCAGGTGCCACGGGTCGACTGACCGAGATTACCGAGATGACTGGCTGATGCACCACCTGTGGCCCCTACTGTGCCAACTTGCTGTGCTTTAGCCACCCGGCGCTCTGCTCATTGTTGTGAGCGTCGCTCCTCCGCCCTCCGTTGTTGTTGGAGGGCGATTGCCTCCAACTGCCCAGTAGCGTCCTTCACGAGCCTCCTCCACAGAGGCCGATCTTTACACCGCTGGTACCAGTCATCAGCAAGTCCACTCAACTCCACATCCTCCTGTACCACATCACTCCATCTCTTCTCCAGCCCGTGCCGCGCCCGTCTAGCCCCCTCTATCCTGCTGAACAAAAGCTGTTTAGGCATGCGGTGACTGGGCATGCGGGCTACATGACCCAGCCAATGCAGCCTTGCCTGCCGGAGGAGCTCACCGATGGGACTTTGCCCAGATCTTTCAAGGATTTGTGAGCTCCTCACACAATCCAGCCTGGTTAAACCCAGGATGGATCGTAGGCAGGCCAGCCTAAATGTTTCCAATCGGCGAAGATGCTCCATTAGGGAGAGTTCATGTTTCTCAAGCATAGAGAAGGGAGGGAATGACCGTGGCCGAGAAAACTTTAAGCTTCCTGTGGAGCGACAGACCAAATAGCTTCCACACAGCGTTACGCAACCGACGAAAATATAGTGCCGCTCAACTGATTTTGAGTGAGACCTCTGCTGTCAAACCGGAGCCGGTCATGAGCACACTGCCCAGGTATGGGAAACTCTCCACTCTCTCTGCAACTGCCCCATCACCAATTGGGAGTTGTGGGAGTGGAGTGCCCGATGGTGCTTAGTTTTGGTGGTGCTGATGGTAAGGCCCCACCTCTTAGTGGCACGCTCCAGTTTCAGCAGCAGCGCCTCCAACTCCTCCTCTGAGTGAGCGGCAATTACCAGATCATCGGTATACAAAACGTGATTGACCAATAGGGAGCCATCCCTTGACCGCATCCGGGCATTAATCAGCCTCACATTGTATCTGTAATAGATGTAAATTCGTCTGGTACAGCTATCAAAGGCTTCACGAACTACGTGGTCGAAAAAGATGTTAAATAATGTGGGAGCCAGAGGACATCGCTGTCGCACATACATACAGATACACATACATACACATACATGCACTTTATAGAAACATACAAAGACAAAGATCCCCTGTATAGCCTGACCAGACTGTTGGGGCAAGTGCTGTTAGCGAGCACCTCTAAAAGCCAGCACGACACATAAGGGGGTGGATGGCCAACACCACACCCGGCCGCCTTTGTCTCCCCAGTGGTGATGTTTACACACTACACCTGGTACTAATTTGAGGCTGAGTCGACCTAGGGGAGACTCATGACCGGTTAAGCGTAAGCGCGCTAACCACTACACTACCGCTCTCCATACACATGCATAGATATACACATACATACAAAAGACACACATACATACGGACACACATACAGATACACATACGTACATAAACATAAAATAAATGACTGCACAAAAACCCATCGCGTGAAATTTGGGTTTCAGCCACTACCTTTGCACTGCTCCACTTTAGAATTCCCTCCCTTAGTCCCTTCTCTCACGTCCTTATAACATTCTTATAAACGCGACCGTGCTCTTAGTTGCTGGCCGCGTTGCGTTCTGTCCCTGTGCGTGCGTGGGAGGGTGGGCCCTCTCACCGGTGGGGTGTCCCGTGCCGTTGTCGCAGGGAGACGAGTGGTGTTGCTGTGGCCGAGAGGCGCGATGCCCGTGGGGGTGCGAGTGGTGGGACGCCGAGTGGCTGGCTTGGTGGTTGCGGTGCACGCGCCGACTGTGCCCAGCGGCACTCTCCCCTGCCACTCTCACTGCCGGGGAAGAAGACATCCATATTACTCTACATGTACATTGATGAAGACATCCATGTCACTCTACACGTACATTGAAGACATCCATGACATGTTATTGAAGACATCCATGTTACTCTACATGTACATTGAAGACATCCATGTCACTCTACATGTACATTGATGAAGACACCCATGTTACTCTACATGTACATTGATGAAGACATCCATGTCACTCTACATGTACATTGAAGAAGACATCCATGTTGCTCTACATGTACATTGATGACATCCATGTTACTCTACATGTACATTGATGAAGACATCCATGTCACTCTACATGTACATTGATGAAGACATCCATGTCACTCTACATGTACATTGATGAAGACAATCCATGTTACTCTACATGTACATTGATGAAGACACCCATGTTACTCTACATGTACATTGATGAAGACATCCATGTTACTCTACATGTACATTGATGAAGACATCCATGTTACTCTACATGTACATTGATGAAGACATCCATGTTACTCTACATGTACATTGATGAAGACATCCATGTACTCTACATGTACATTGATGAAGACACCCATGTTACTCTACATGTACATTGATGATGACATCCATGTCACTCTACATGTACATTGATGAAGACATCCATGTCACTCTACATGTACATTGATGAAGACATCCATGTCACTCTACATGTACATTGATGAAGACATCCATGTCACTCTACATGTACATTGATGAAGACATCCATGTACATTGATGAAGACATCCATGTCACTCTACATATACATTGATGAAGACATCCATGTCACTCTACATGTACATTGATGAAGACATCCATGTCACTCTACATGTACATTGATGAAGACATCCATGTCACTCTACATGTACATTGATGAAGACATCCATGTTACTCTACATGTACATTGATGAAGACATCCATGTCACTCTACATGTACATTGATGAAGACATCCATGTTACTCTACATGTACATTGATGAAGACATCCATGTCACTCTACATGTACATTGATGAAGACATCCATGTTACTCTACATGTACATTGATGAAGACATCCATGTTACTCTACATGTACATTGATGAAGACATCCATGTCACTCTACATGTACATTGATGAAGACATCCATGTTACTCTACATGTACATTGATGAAGACATCCATGTCACTCTACATGTACATTGATGAAGACATCCATGTTACTCTACATGTACATTGATGAAGACATCCATGTCACTCTACATGTACATTGATGAAGACATCCATGTTACTCTACATGTACATTGATGAAGACATCCATGTTACTCTACATGTACATTGATGAAGACATCCATGTCACTCTACATGTACATTGATGAAGACATCCATGTTACTCTACATGTACATTGATGAAGACATCCATGTCACTCTACATGTACATTGATGAAGACATCCATGTTACTCTACATGTACATTGATGAAGACATCCATGTTACTCTACATGTACATTGATGAAGACATCCATGTCACTCTACATGTACATTGATGAAGACATCCATGTCACTCTACATGTACATTGATGAAGACATCCATGTTACTCTACATGTACATTTATGAAGACATCCATGTCACTCTACATGTACATTGATGAAGACATCCATGTCACTCTACATGTACATTGATGAAGACACCCATGTTACTCTACATGTATATTGATGAAGACATCCATGTTACTCTACATGTACATTGATGAAGACATCCATGTCACTCTACATGTACATTGATGAAGACATCCATGTTACTCTACATGTACATTGATGAAGACATCCATGTTACTCTACATGTACATTGATGACATCCATGTTACTCTACATGTACATTGATGACATCCATGTCACTCTACATGTACGTTGATGAAGACACCCATGTTACTCTACATGTACATTGATGACATCCATGTCACTCTACATGTACGTTGATAAAGACACCCATGTTACTCTACATGTACATTGATGACATCCATGTCACTCTACATGTACATTGATGAAGACATCCATGTTACTCTACATGTACATTGATGAAGACATCCATGTCACTATACATGTACATTGATGAAGACACCCATGTTACTCTACGTGTACATTGAAGAACACCATTAATCATGGACCCAACAGTAATCCACTGGAGTCTGCGCTCTTTCAACAGAGGAAGAGAAAAACGACTCAAACTCTCTCCTAAAGCCCTCTCGTTTGGGCGAGCAGACCTCAACATTGGCACTTAGCTTCTGAACATATCGCAGTGTGCAAGAGTGGAATAATAATTATATTCTAACTTTATATATCTAAGTAAAAATTACGTATTATTGTTATTTGGTTATTTCGGTGAAGTCACGTAAATAGAAAAATAATAATAATAAAAAATAAAGTGAATTAAAAAAATCACTCATGTAGACTGTAGCCTGGTTATTAAGCTGGGTGAGTCTACTGGCAGTCTATAATGTAGACTGTAGCCTGATTCGAACCTGAATAACATAAAATAAAAACAAAAACCACGAAGTTTCGATCACAACACAAGTGGTCGTCATCAGGAATAAGTAATATTTAAAAATACTTTTTTTTTAAACACGCTTTAATGAAAAGTACCGTACGAGTAATGGCAGAACTCCACGACTCCAGGAAGTGGCCCCGAGGCTTGCCACAACGTCAGGGGCCGTGGCCAATTACAGCCAACGTCAGTTGAGCGTGGACAATTAGACCCAAGCCGAAACATAACATATAATAAAGAATGTAAAACAATTTATTTTTTAATTTTTAATGACAAAATATAGTATTGTTATCAGTATGACATAAGTATACCAACTTTGCAGTCGATGCCACATTGGGAAGTGGGTTAAAATTTTGTTACAAGATTTGAGGATACAACAACAGACAGAGTGAGTTAAATAAGCGTGTAGTAAAAATATAGTTTAAAAATTATAATTTTTATTTTTTATCATAGAATATAGTATTGTCATCAGTATGACATAAGTATACCAAGTTTGCAGTCGATACCACATTGGGAAGTGGGTTAAAATTTAGTTACAAGATTTGAGGATACGACAACAACGACAACAGAGTGAATGAAATAAAAGCGTGGAATAATTATAATAAAAAAGGAGGTTAGCCTCTAAAGGCAAACTGTGTATAAAGGTTTAGAGATGGGCGTAGCCCAAGTGTGTCAGCAGCATGGGCAGGGCAGCTAATGTAGGAAACAACTAATGTTAATGTAAGAAACAACTAAACTAATGTTAATGTAGGAAACAACGAAGCAGTTAGTGGATGACTAATGTTTAGCCAGGGTAGCCTTGCTGAGTCTAAAGACTCCCACAATAATTTCTAGGTAATATTTAAGCATCGTGATGTTTGGACAATGCCAGTGAAATGATGAAGCAAAGTCCTTCTGGAACTCCTTGCCAGCATTGCCTCTCATCTAGCCAAGCAACAACTCTGGAACACCTTGCATTGCAAGCTGCTCCATTAGTTACCACACATCTGGTAGCCCCTTACTTCTCAATTGTACATTGTGTTCCGCCACATTCAAATTAAGTATTTATTCACTTTAGTTACGAAAGCTGTTCGGCCTAATTTAGTGGAAAACCAAAAGGTCACGTCAAATAGCGAGGGGGCCAGGTAGCGTATGAGAAGTGGTTTTCCCACCGGCCCGTGTGAACTTTGAAGCGTGATACCCTGCACCTGTGATTTTCTCCAAACACTTATTTAGCAGCGATTGACCAAACATAAAAAATACAAGCTCCTTCTGAAAATGTATTTAAACTCGTCGAGGCGTTGCTGGTTTAAAAAGCACACTGCTGTGATCATAAAGCAGATTCGGCGAAAATTTGGCTGCGAACACTGCCTAGATTTGACCCCAGGGCCTACAGCAGCGTTGGCTCAGGGCTCCCACAGACGCATTGAATCCTTCTGCCACATACACATCTCTGTCTGTGCGACAATATATCCTCTTTTCGACATATCTTGAGCTCACCTTCTATTGACGTGGAAATGACACGATCCACGGCTTGTATATTTGAAGCTGCTATAGCTATGAATAGGCATAGCCATCACAATGTGACAAAGTATCACATGGTGATGGCACAGAGTTGGCTGCCAGAAGTAAACTCGTGAGCAGTTCACACGTTTCAAATGCACACTTGTCAGTAGAGCCTGCGCAGTAAGATATACAAACCATGAAAATAAGCAGATGAAAATCGCAAATGCACCCATGTATACCGCTGCTTGGACGGCGGTGGGTTGATTTGAGAAACCTGCACCATTGTTTGAATGGTTGCTCCAGAACATTGATTCCAACTGGCAACCTCTGGGTTGCAATCCCAGTTATGCTAACCATCACACCACTATGGCAGCATCCTCATAGAACTGTATGTGATGGTACAATAACCTGCACAATATCATCACTGTACAGCATGGGAGGTATTCATACAAAATGGTACGGCAGGAATGACACCCGTAGCGTTGTCCACCTGCCAAGTCTGCAGTCAACGAACTACAACCAAACTGACAGCTGTTGGAGCCCTGTGCATGCAGTATGAGGCTTCCACTGACGTACAAACGAAAGGCGGGGTGGCAAGTATTTAATGCTGCCGGCTATGGTAGAGTGGGCAAGCTGGCTCCGAGAGAATGTGGCGGCACAGAATCGGCAGGAGCACAGTGAAATTAAATCACGACGGACGCTTGTGTTGTGCCCAAAACGTCGTGATCTAATTTAGTTGTTTTCATTTTAATTTATTTAGTTTTTTACCTACGTGACTTTACCGAAAAAAACAAAAAGTATAGATCCTTGCAGTCACGAAAACTTCAAATCTAGGAGCCCTGTTTTGCTCAATATATTAATTAATGAATCGAGCTATCAATAGCTTTGATGTCACACCAGGCAAGAGCCCAATGCCATGACATGCTTCTCTCTAACCAAGAAAGACCTGCAACAGAGTAAGGTGGCTGTTACGTT